ATTTAAGAAACTGAGAGAGAATCTAATTAGGCAAATAAAGCAATACTGACTTGTTTGGTCTTATTATCCAAGCTAAAATAAATAAATAAATAAATAAATAAACATTATAAATCATAATTTTTCAAATCCCGTTGTTCTTATTACTCGAGCAGCTATTTCCACAATTATATGCTTGCAACAGTACCTGGCAGCAGTTTCAGTCAGTTATCTGAGTATTACAAAACGGCTTTACGACAGCAGACAAAACCACTCCATTCAGCCCTGCTAAACTGATCCCTTTTTGGCTTCCATTCTGAACCTACCCCTCTGGAAGTGCCCTCCCCATATCACAAGGCAGCTGAGATTATGCCAACTGAATCAGAACCCCAGGAAAACACAATAGGATTAAAAAATCCTGAGGAGAGAAGCCAACCAGCAGTTTTTCCATGGACATTAATAAAATCAGGATCGGACCATAAGCACAACACTATAATCTCCCAGCCTTTACTCAGGTGTAGAGGTCTGGACTGTGGCTTCACATATGTTTGCACAGTACTTAGCAGACTGAAAGAAGCAAGTAATTATGTAAGTAACAGTTGGCTTCATTGATTCAGCTCCGTTGAATAAAGGTTGCAGGAGCAGACTCAAGACTGTATATCATATATTCTTAATCCTGCAGTTTATTCTGATTTAATAGAGAGGACATGTGCGACACACATCAGCAGAGCCCTGAGTGCACAGGTACGCCAGCAATAATCACCACAGCTACACTGGTCCAGATAATATCATCTTATCTATCAGCTGTCTCCGCAGTTTATATGAGCTGCTTATCTCAAAGAGCTATTACATCTGAACTTTTGTTTGATCTTGTTTTCTTTTGCATTCATTTGAAGCTCCACATATCATGCTTTTAATTCTGCACTGAAATGCATCAGGGCCTTTAATTTTGCTCCTGTTACTGATGCAATATGGTCTTAGCAACAACGAGAACAGTGAGCAAGTCATGAAAATAATAAACCATGCTAGGTCTGGAGGCTATGAAATCAGTTCAAACATACTGCGGGGAGCTGTACTGCCTGCACTGAGACACATGGCTTTCCGTGGGCACCAGCCCATTTATGAGTCATGAAACATAATGGAGTATTGTTGAAAGCTTTGGGACCATGAGAAATTATCTACTGCCCGGCATGGGGAATGGTATAAACTGGCAAGGAACTGGAGTTACATTCTTTTACAGAAATGAAATCAGACAGCCTTGGCCTGCTTTCCAGTGTACAAAACCACAAATCATGAGGACAACTCCTTAATTAGGACTAATTTTTTTTTTTTTTAAAGACTTGCCACTGTACTAACCAACCAGGGAAGCCAACATTTGCTCTGCCCCTAGCCAGGCTATAATGAGGCAAAGAACATAGGGAAGACAAAAAGGAGAAGGGGTGAGGCTAGTGTCCCAGCATAGAATCATAGAATCATAGAATAGTTAGGGTTGGAAAGGACCTTAAGATCATCGAGTTCCAACCCCCCCGCCATGGGCAGGGACACCTCACACTAAACCATATTACCCAAGGCCTCGTCCAACCTGGCCTTGAACACTGCCAGGGATGGAGCATTCACAACCTCCCTGGACAACCTATTCCAGTGCCTCAGCACCCTAACAGGAAAGAATTTCCTCCTTATATCCAATCTAAACTTCCCCTGTTTAAGTTTTAACCCATTACCCCGTGTCCTACCACTACAGTCCCTAATGAAAAGTCCATCCCCAGCATCCCTATAGGCCCCCTTCAGGTACTGGAAGGCTGCTATGAGGTCTCCATGCAGCATGAGCTACAAAAGCAGAGTATCTTTCTCTCTCCCACACCAGGTGACATCCCCTCATGCCAAGGGATTTGGTACATACAGGCAAGTAGAGCAAAAGCTATTTGCTTAATACAAAGGTGTGATAACAACACAGTGCCATAGGTGTGTATATCTCCATGCAGAGGACAGCTGTCAGTGTGGGAGGCAGTGTGCTCCGTAAGGGAGAGCACAAGTCTGGATGTCATTTCTAATCCAAACCCCACCCTCCTCCTGGTTCCTGTGCCTTCAGAGTAAATATGTTACATGGCCCTCTGACTGAGAAAGGAAAAATCCTATTTTTAAATGAACAGTGAAGTGCTTAGGGAACCACATAACTGCAGGAATACAGAGCTCAGTGGAGAAATACCCGATGGGCAGAGAAAAGAAGACAAAGTCAGAACCTTCTCAGCGGTATCCAGTGAAATCACCAGGGTGGGATGGCCCATTGTGTCAGTACAAATTGCCTAAGTCAGCTGTCTCCATGAAAGCATGTAAGGGTAAAGCCAGACTATGACAGGCATCTAAACCAGATGTTTTGCACAGACTAACTGCCTTCCTAATCAAAAGAAATACATAATTTAATCATAATACAATGCATAATCCAGGAAAGGTAAATAAAGAGTTAACAGTGTGAATGTTCATTTGAATATTTATATAGATTTACTCTTCCATGCTTGCACATCTTTTGTGCTAGCTTGCTTGGAAAGCTCAGATTTTATTGGCAGAAATGCTCATGGAAAGCACGTTTGCATTTACTCTGGAAATACTTACACACTCATCCAGTCAAGGGGACAATAACAATATTATGTTTTCTCTAACAAATTTCAGTTAATTGATATAATCTGGATATTGAGTTTTTATTATGTATTCAGTGAGCCCAGAAAGGGAATTAAAATCCCAAAGATTAACAGCTCTTAACAAATCACTTGCTAACCTGGAATTAAAATATGTTAGAGGAAATACGGTTTGTGGCATCAGTGATGAATGCGCAGAAAAGGACAAAACTAAATGGATATGCAGTTAGGAATCATTCAGTCTACAAGTGCAGCCTCATTTTCCATTGTGTAGCAGTTGCATCACGTTACACACAGCCAATAATAAATCAGGAGCTTGCTTCCCTCCCTCTGCCACAGATTATCTGAGATGGGATCAGGAATGGATAGGCTCCATTCTACTCCCTTTCCCAAAGAAATCTCAAATTGATCAAAGACTGAACGCTGCCTGAAGCGTTTGATTACATCAAACATTGATATTTTTTCCAAGTTCAAGAGCACATGAGTGGCCATTAGAGACCACAGTTTGGCTGCAGATTTTCAAATCCCCATGAGATGTATAGGCACAGTATGTCTATGAGGCTTCAAACAGAGTGCATGGTTTGCAAAGGGAGTAGGAAGGTGAAATTCTGGAAGCTGAGGACAGACATCGTTTCTGAAAGCGGCACTCTTTAATATGGGAAAATATAAATGGATGCATCTCACTTCCAGCACCCAGGTTTAAAAAGTTGGGTTTGAACTACAGTTTCAGCAGAATGCTGTTCGTTTGGGAGATAATGAAGTCCTCTACCTTTCTCTAGAAGTGGGAAGGAAACAAAAATAGGCAGAGCATTTCACTGGGAATCAAGAGACATGGACTCAATTCCTATCTCAGTTCCAGCTGCCTGTGAGTCCCTGAGCAAGTTGTTTCAGCCAGCCTGGTTTTTGGCTCACTGTAAAGCAGAGGCTGCAAGTCAGAAACTATCAGGACCACATGCCTAAAATAGAGATAAGGTATTCAAAGGTCATGGTCCCAGCCAAGTGGGCAGGAGGGGAGATACGATCTAGTGCAACACCTGAAACGAGTCTAAAGAAAGATGGAAGGGAAACCACTATGAACGGCTTGAGCTTTAAGCTGAGGCACTGCCATTCCATCTAAATCCACAAAAAATATCTCTCTGGGAGGTCACATACAATCTTTGAGGAAGATCTCCATACGTGCCTGTTACTCAAAGCAGTACTGCTTTGATCCTAGCTACAGGAACTTCTGAAGATGCATTTATAACACAATTCCAAGTACTAGCTACGCTCTTTTTAGACACCCCCAAGGTAGTGTTATCGATAGCTAATCTAGTTAGCATAGAACCATGGCTGACAGCAGTAGGAGTTTCAGCTCAGGTTCAGTATGCTTGCTGAAGACTTGGTGAATATATTTGGCTATTAAGCATCTGCCAGTGCCGTTTCACCACTATTGGTATTGGTACATGAGGTGGAGCAATCACACCTTCAGCTGGATGGCAGACATATTCTGCAAGACACAATAAATTCTGGAGACCCAGAAATCAGGCAACTATGAAAGACACAAAAAGGAGAGTGTGAGGTCGGGGAGGTCTTAGGTAAATTCTTCGGATGGGTGAACGTCTGAGTTTCACTCCAAGAGTGAGATATCTTTCCTTTACTGGAAACCATCACTACATAAAATTTTATATTCTACCCATACTCATACTTAGTGAGAACTGAGAACTCTTGCACATTACTGTTGCTCCTGGATAACCAAAGTGTCACCTTCGTACCTACCTGTGGGTTGTAGTTCCACGTAACACTCTCCAAAAATGCAGCTGGTCCATTAAAAAACTCAGTATTAGTGACAATATCATCTACCTTAATGTCTTCCAGGTTCTTGGCTGGGATGACGCATCCCAGTAACGCTGCAGAAGAAAATGCCCTCTTTCATACAAGCTAGACTTTTGTTTTCCACAGAGCTTTTCCGAGTCTTGGACACATGGTCATAGTAAATTCAACCTTTCTGACTTTACCTCTCTAATCCAGCAATAACTGGGAGGCTAGTTTGAAGCAGAGTTTAAACCACGTCACCACCAACCATCTTTGAAGAAAGACAGAGAGGATACAGAAAGGATTTGGTCTCTAACCTACCAAGTAGGGTTACAGAAACAAAATGAAGGCCTAGAACTTTGTGAATTTGAATAAGTGGTAAGCTTTGGCCAAGGAAAGCAATGAAGGTGAAAGCAGGACTTCAAAACAAATATTTTCCTGCATTCCTAAAAGGCCTTTAGTTTTAAAAAAGCACTTGTAATAAAACCTAAAACAAGTTTTAAAAACTTCAGAAGCCAAAGACACAAGTTCCAAGACAGTCAGAGAGCTGTATCATTGCATAAATTGTGGGGAGAAAAAAAACACATTAACTTAATGACATTGGTCAAAAAGTAAAGTATGAAATGTGTGGGGTTTGTTTTATTTGTTTTGAAGAGGGCACACACATTCTAAAGCGGCTTCGGGATTTTTTTTTTGGAGGAGAGGAAAGGGCGGTGGTATCTTCTCTTTTTAATGTCTGCCTTCTTTTTCTTTAGCTATTTTGTGCCACTGATTGTTCTGGAACAAGATCTCACCTTGCTGAATTATAACACTTCTATTAGTTGCACAACATAGAAAATAATAGCTCAGTAATTGCCAATATTCATCCCATCTTGTGGGAAACTGAAGAAAATGATAAAAGTGAAAAGCAATATATGAAAAGAATGTCCATTGCATCAGCCCGTCCATCTGTGAAATCTTGTTCATTATGTAGATTATACTACTGACATATGGAAGAGACATTTCACTGTTGTAGCTTAGATGAAAGAAGTTTGAAGTGCTTGATTTCCCAACTAGGAAATCATATGGATAGCCTCACAAGTTTACAGGGACCCCCGATATGGTTTTGTCTTTGTCCTTTTCTGTACCCTTTTTTAACCCTCTCCATATGTAGACTAATTAGAGAGATAAAACTACTCACGTGAGGTGTGACTCACACAGCCCTTCAGAGAACAATACAGTACTAACCTCAGACAGGGAAACAGCCCAGCTCACAACAGGCAATAACTTCAGGCCTGGGGATTATTCCCACGGATGCTTAGATATCGAGCTTAATTACAAGGTCAGGTTAGGTAAGTCTAATTTTAGATTGATTTCCTACCCACATGTCCAGGTCCAAACCTTCTTGGGAACTGCAAATAAAAATGGGTTTGTGCTTTGCATCTGTGTGTGTAACACTGGAAAAAACCAACCCCTGGTGTTTTGGAGAAAATTCTGGCCCTGGGTGTGGCTGCCCAATGCCTTCTGCATGGAATTTGCCCAGAGATATCAACCAGGCAAGATGTAACTCATTCAGTTCTTAGAAGAGGAATACAAACTCTAAGTGCAGTGCATATGATTAAGATGTAACAGCTTGGCCTTGTTGAAATAAAGATCAAAACAGTCTAACAGCTTAATGAGGAATAAAACCCAACTGCAAGCATTAGCAACAAAACTAAGATGGTCTCAAGTTCGCTTTTCCAAGCCACACTCCTGTCTTGTCACAACAGGATGACTATTCCAGTGTATTAAGCCATCTCCCACTTCAGGACCATGCTGGACCACCCAGTGCTGAGTCTTGTGATCATTCCCTGTGACAACTAAGGAATGGCTTGCACAAGTGGTGAGCTTTGTACCTTAGTACAAAGTACCTTAGATCTTGACATACTCCCTTTTGTGCATCCATCCCACCTTTTGGCTGCTACTCCAGCACTAGTATTGCAGCCCACTCATTTGTGTGTGATGTGCCAAATGCACCTGCTGATAGCTTTTCTTGATGACAAATGCATAGGGAAGTGTCTCTGTGTATCATTGTGAAAGGACAAGCACACAATTGTACTGGGGAATAGAAGATGAAGAAAAAGAGAGACCTGGAGTTTACGTAAGCTTAATATACTACAAAGCAAATCACACTAAATTACAGGCAGTATTTCAAAGCCTCTCATTCCCTTTGCTGTAGGCCTCAGATGACAGCTCACTGCCATTCTCTTCAGTTCCCATCCCAGCTGTTGAACAACCCACTTGCTGTCCTTCTGTTCTGTGACATGCAGAGCAGATGCCAACAGCCCCACATCATAAAAGACTTTAACCTATGCAGGGCCTGAGCCTTCTCTGCTCAGCTGTCACAGCCATAGTTCTATTTGAGATAAACTAGACAATTCTTTTCAGAAAGGCTGTATTTCACCCCATTTCTGAAAGAGCTTTCACCACCCTCTCAGGATGAAGTAACTGGGTTAAGATGTCAAACCCAACTTCTCTGCACATGTGTTTACCTAACTAATGAGAAATGAGAAATGAGGAATGTCTGACTATGCAAAGCCAAATTCCTCTAGAGATCAAGTATACTTAGATCTGGCCATGAGAGTAACTTGTAATATGCAAGTGTTACGAACTATTTACAGGCTTAACCCAACTGCAGTGAAGTCAATGGTTTAACTCTCCCTGCCTTCAAAGGAAAAGGGATCTGGGCCTCAGTGCATACTTGTGGCACAGCTCACTGCTAGGCTGGCTCATTGCCCTGCAAGGAGTTTAGTAGCTGTAGCCTTTACAGGATAAAACCCCAAATTATACCTACTTCCCACTACAGCTTTCTGACGATTCTGTGCCTTCCCACTCCCTAAATACTTTTATTTGAGATAGAGGTACTAAATTATATAACTATATACATATATACACTTCAGGCTGAACAGAAGGACTAAAAATTGTGAATCTTTTCTGGACCAACAGATGGAGGTTCAATCTCAGTCATATTGTTAATCAAGCAAAAGTCATGCTAAAGCATCCTGTGAGCTCCTGCTCTCCCCAGACGTTGCTATAAAGAACAGCAAACAAGAAACACCACTGCAGCACTGTATTCTGAGAAGACACAATTAAGATGCCTTGCCAGCATGATCTCTTTCTACATGAGAACAAATTTAATTCAGCAGTCGAGCGCAGGAATGGCATCCAGAGCTCCTGAGCCTTGCCAGCCATTTGTCCCATTTGTTCAACCAACTTGCACAAGCCACTTAATCCAATTTTATTTTTTTCAAGCTGGTTACCTGAAATAGGGTCTGATCCAATCCCCAAAAAGGCAAATGTGAAATTTCCAGTCCGCTTCAATGGTACCCATGGGCTCATAGGCCTCTATCTCTATATTTAGACACTTAAATATAGTAGTCTGGACATCAGAGATTACTGAGTGTCCACAGCTGCCACTGACCGCAGAGAATGGAAAAGAAGAACAAATCTCTGGTTCAAAAAGTTTCGCAGCTGTAGGCTACTGCAAGCTGGGAAGGTATAATCAAGGGAAGTATCACTGTATCCTTGCTGTGTTACAGATTTCTCCTTACATGGCTCATATAACCAAAATCAGACCAAAGCAAGAGGACTACTTCTGAGATGACACAATACAGCTTTCTCTGTCCCATCCCACAGACTCAAGGACTAAAGATTGACAGTCATTGCAAAAACACTGCTTAAATTCTCCAGTATATGGTCACACTGTCATTGTGAAGGTTTAGAAAACTTCACACAGACAAACCAAGCAAGTTCTCAGACAAATTAAAGAAAACCCATTCTCCAAGACCATCCAACCCAGTGCCGTCCAGTTACACTAGTATTCTGCACAGTATGACCATAATGGCAAAGTTGCAGAAATCCACTCAAGACTACTCTGTAGTAGTCAAAGCACGTGTCCAGCATGTTAGGCAGGCAGAGTTAGGGCACAAGTGATGGGTGCATGGCTGGAATCACTCCATTGCCGTGAGAACCAGTACAGCAGAAGAGATATGGGCACAGGTAAGGCAAGAGACAGGGCTCAAACTTAACTTATTTGTCCTATACTTTAAGGCTGAAATAATGTGACTTCTTTGCATATGTCCTTTCATTTATGGCATCAAGAATTTAACTACTGAAAGAATTTCACTAATTGTTTTAGTTGTGGAAATATAAGTTACCTTAGATCCATCCAGATTGTCTTTGCTTCATTTTAGGGGCTTAGCAGAGGTGGAATTCATTCTCCATTTGTGCCTTGGACAGTCCCTAAACATAATAAATAAATAAATAAATAAATAAACTTGTTGTGCTTCTTACTGTCTACCTGCAAAGTTTTCATTTGGGCTCATCACAGTTCTCAAGTTCACATTCACACTTCTTCCTCATTTCTGAGACTACTGCCCAACTTCAGCAGCAAAAGAGAATCCTGAATGCCTGGTAGTCTTCAAGAGCTGCTTGTCAGACAGTTTAACTGCCATGGATTTCTCCTTGAATCCTTGTGCTTACATTTTCAGACATACATTTACAACAGTTTACAGGCATCATTCCTGAAGGAGACCATGGAATTGAGATGTTGGCATGTAAAAATCACTCCATTGTGGTTACATATGATTACATATCCAGGAAGATATGTAACACAGAGCATAGAATCCCAAAACTTGACACAGAATCAGATGCACAAATAATGCAGGAATATGTCTACAAAACCAGGCTACAATTTATTCCTATGTTTATTCTCCTTCACCTGCATGATTCAAGTTCAGTGAAAGGACGCTCCAGTTTCACTACAAATCAGACACCAACACAAAATACATAAACTGCAGTCCCAAATGGGAACAAGCTGCATTTTGCAAATAATACATGAAATACAAATATAATGTAGTAATAATAATGATATCAACTTGCAGAACTGTATTTGCCCCCTCTACAGTGCAATTCTGTAGAGAGTTCTGCTTATGCATCTAGTTATATCTCTCTTCAGGAGGACAGCTGACACAGCAATCTCTTTACAACTGCAAAACATAACACAACACATCATACGTCTGCCATTTTAGGGAAAAAGGTAAGACAACAAAAATCTTATTAGAAATAAAACACCAATATGTCCTCTCCTGAAAGGGCATTTGGAAGCTGATGGACCTGGAAACCCAAAATTTAGCAGCTTTTTCTAAACTGTCTCTTTCTAATTTGTGTAATTTCTGTGACTGTTGCATCCACAACAGCTAAATCACAGCAGTTCCTGGGATATGGCATGACTTCTAGGAAGAGCTTCAAAGGGCTAAGAAACCTAAAGCAGCTCCTGCCTGGGTCTAATGGAAACTGGCAGAACATGACAGTACGTATCTTTGACCAATTACACTAAAAAAGCAGGAGCCAAACTGCCTCCTGACTGGGTTCACAACATAATTGAGCCATTCCATTCACTACTAGTAGGTGCAAAGCTTGCAAATCTTATCCCTGGCTTAAGGGAATATGATGTTGCCACAGGGAAGGGAGGGCACAGAGGCAAACCAAACCATATGCCCATTCGGAACTTGAGCTCTGGGTAGTGGTGAATAGACTTCAGGAATTTCACCTTGTCTGATCCAACCCTGCCTCACATCAGTGATGAAAGGAGTGGCCTTGTGGTAGGATTGGCTTTGATGGGCAGATTAGATTTAATGCCAACACTGTTCTACTGAAGCAGGGGGAAAGAAATAATTGTGAATGAAACTGTGATTGATGTTCCCTCTTTATTGTACAAGAACTTTGATTGTCAGGTGATTTGTCCTTTGGTTAAACATACCTTGGACATTAGGCCAAGGTGAGCACCTGATTTTTTCATTTACAACTAATAACAAATCATCGTGTGTATCAAGATCCTTTAGCTCTTCTTGTGTATTTCTCCCTTCCCCCCAAAAGCCAGGCTAGAGAGAGACATATATAAACAGAATCCTGAGAAAAAACCCTAGCAGTTCTCAAGGGCAGAGTGAAAGTCTGGACTTGTAAAAATACTTGGGCAGCAGTCCAAGTGAAAGGCCCAATCTTTAGAACAACTAAACAAAGGAGAGCAGGATCTTGTCCCACATCAGTCTTTAGATGACAGTGAAAATATGCAGAACTGTGGTCCCAAAGTATTCAGCATCAGAGGGTGTGAAGAATGGCCTCCTCCAAGAAATTTGGGAGTGCTGCCTGAGAACCCACTGCCAACTTAAAGGAGATGGAAAGAGAAAGGTAACCCAGATACAGACCAGTGAATGTCAACATATTTTAAACCTGCTCTACAATAGCTGCAAGCTGAAATGCACCAAGCAGGAACATTTCATACTGTGGCTTGTGTCACTTGGCTGTGACTGTCTTAGTGCATTGTTTCATTCCCTCAGACAAGGTAGAAGATGCTTTTTTAGCAAAAAGGCTGAGGTCAAGTCAGGCACAATCAGTACAACCCACCAAATCCAACCTAAACCCAACCACTTTCTAGTGAAGGGATAAAGGCATATTGTCCCACTACACAAAAAACGTACTGGACATGACTGATAGATGGATGTTCTAAACCCTGAGCTGCACAACAGAAAGAAAGGTCATATGCAGCCAGTTCTGTTAAATTCTCATTTGCTGGTAACCTGTGTTAAAATACTGAGCCATCCACTTCCTTGGGAGTTTATTTTTCCCTTAGGAGAATTATCTGTTTCTGTGAATCCTCTTTATTTTCCATTCAAGTTCCAGATTGTGCAACTTCCCTGATACACCTCCTTTTATAAACTAGAACAGACCAAAATTACTAGCAATAGTACAGACATTGGTTTCCTCATCTGCCCTTAGCAACCTCTTCAGTTGTTGCTCATGTTGAGCTCTTATGACTGATTTCATTGATGCTCTTTGCTAATTGTTTTTGTACAACAAATTAAGAAAGATCTGTAAAATGTTCACAAGCAGATGACTGGACTATTAGTGCTGCAGAGCTAGCTGTAGCCAAACACTGGAGAATACAAAACAATGTCTGAACTTCAACACCATCTTGAATCTTTCTTCACTTCTTC